CCAGACACTGGGGCCTGGGGAGGCCAGGCGGCTGCCCAGTGCTAGCTCGAGGGGGCCGGGCCGGGGATCTGCGTCCGTGGGGACCGGGTGGAGAGCCCCCTGGCTGTGGGGCGGGAACTGCTGCCCCCTCCGGGCGCTGACGCTCCCCTCTCCCCCAGCCCCTGGCGGTGGCGGCGTGTAGAAGCAGCCCCGGAACCTCCACTGCTGTCCCTGCCTGGGCGCGGGAGCCTGAGGACCGGGTGGAGGCGGTGGGGACCCCAGCCGTGCGCCGGGGAGCGCCCCCCGAATGAGCCGCCCCGCCCACCCCAAGGCTGGAGCCGCTGCACCCCGCTGTCCCTCCCCAGACCTTGGCAATGACGACCCCCCAAAGAGCCCGTCTGTATCCCGGACCCAGGGACTCAGGCCTCCAGCTCCTGGGGCGCAGGAGTCCCCGGCGAGCCCCCGAGAAGCCCCGTGGACTGTCCCCCTGCACCTCCTTGTCTCCGCCCCGGGGATCCGTTCCCCTGCCCCCTCGGTGTCCGCGTCTTGAGCTTAATAAATGTGCATTTGGTTTTTTCCCCCGTTCTGTCTGTGTATGCGCATCTGTGGGGACACGATGGCGGAGGGGTGCAGCGCTGAACCCGGGGAGCGCTCCCTGCGTGCCCGGCTGTCCCCCCTCCGCTCCCCCGTGCCCGAGTCGCCTCCTCTCCCACGTCCTCAGCGCCCCTCCCGCTCCCTCCACACCTCCGGGTCTGCCCTTTCCCTTCTCCCCCCGGCGACCCGGCGCCGACCCCTCCCGCGCGCTCCCCGCGGGAGCCCCGCCCGCCCAGGACCGCCCGCGGGGGTCCCCTTCCCGCCCCTGGGCCGGTGGGGCCCCGCCTCGCCCTCGCCCCTGCCCCCGCGCCCTCCGCGTCTCCCCCTCCTGCCCCCACCCCGGCTCCGAGGCCAGGAAACCCGAGAGGAAATGACTGAGCCGGCTCGGTCCCCGCCCGCCCGCGCGCCCCTGGCCACACCCTCCGCCCGGACGCAGCCGCCGCGCGGCTCTCTCCCCACGCGGCCGCCGGTTCGGACCCGAGCTCGACGTGAGTCCCTCCTCCGCTCACCGCCAGCCGCCTCCCCTCCGCCCGGGCCGGGCTCGGGTGGGTGGGGGGCCGGCCTGCTCCGTGCCCCTGCGCCCCCCGTTCACGCCACGGCTCTCAGCTCCTCTTCTGCACCGCGGCGGGCCGCACTGCCCCGCTCGCTCCTGCCTCAGTCTCCCCAGATCCCCTCCGTCCCTCTCGGACCAGTCCCTCTCCGATCTACCCAGCATCCTTTTCTATGTCCCTGCAGGCGGCCCCCAACACCAGCTCACTTTTTCCTCTGAGGTCAGGAGTGCATTACTCACTCTTCCTCTTTCCCGCCTCCGACTCCTGGGCTGCGGCCCCTGAGGGAGGGACCGAGTCTCTTGGTCTCCTCCCCTGCCCAGACCCTCAGCCCTCCGCTGTCAGACAGAGGGGTAAGTGCCGGGCAGGGGCGCAGCGAGGCGCTTTTCTGCTTCAGGAGCGTTCCCCCGCCTCGCTGCTGCTGGGAGGCCAGTGGGTCCGATGCTTTTTGTGTTCTTTGGGGACCTGTAGGGGAAAGAAGAGGCTTGGGGCCCCCGCCTCTGAGCCGGTCCTCCTGCCCCAGAAGCCAGCTGCCACCTCCGGTGCAGCCCAGGGTAGGGGATGGGGCGGCAGAGTCCCTGAAACTGCACCCAGCCTGCCCCCCTGGCATCATGGTTGACCCCAGCATCGGCTCTCCCCATAGATGTCGCCATCTGGTCGCCTGTGTCTCCTCACCATCGTTGGCCTGATTCTCCCCACCAGAGGTAAGCCCCAGCCCTTGTCTCCACCGGCCTGCGTGCTGCTGGGTGGCTGGGTGGGGAGTTCAGATTCTCCGTCCTCTGTCCTCCCCTGCTACTGAGCTGGCACCAGGAAGTGGGGGGCCCTATGGGAGGAGGGTTACACCCTCCTCGGACACTCAGAACCGGGTGGCCGCTTCCAGCGAGTCTGGCCGGAGCCTTCCTGCTGGGCAGCCTCTATTTCACCTCCAAGAAGAGCTCAGTTTGATTTGGCAGGGAGGTTGGTGTCGGTTTCCTACTCAGCAGCCAGGAAACTGGGCTCCCAGCAAAGCCGATCACTGGGTCCTGGGCAACACGCAGTTAGGCAAAGGGGCTGAGCTGGGGCTCGTCCAAAGGGTTAGAGACATCGCAGCCTTGCCTGGGAAGTGTTTCCCAAAGCGGGGCCCGAGGGGGGCATTTGCGGATGGTTTTGTGCGGCATGTGCTGTGTGGGCTAGCTCGTTTAGGCTTCAGCTGTACTCAGTTATACACGTCGTGCCCATTTTATGGATGAGGAAACTGAGGCTCAGCGAGGGAACGTGCCCTGTGCCAGCGGCTAGTGAGTGGTGGAGCCTGTCCCCAGAACCCAGAGTGTACACTCCACTGGAGGCGCCCCCATGGTCTTAGACAAAATGGCTTCATGTCTTCTTTCAGTCATGCTACAGATATTTGTTGAGCACCTACTATGTGCCAGATCTATGCACTGGGGAAATAGCAGTGACTAAAACAAGAGGTCACATTGTAGTGGGGAAAGATGACAAGTCAGCAAGTGATGCGGCAGTGTATACAGTGTGCCAGAAGGTGCTCCGTGCTACGGAGAAAAGTAGAGGAGGGTGATGAGGATTGTTGGCACAGGGTGGTCAGGGAGGGCCTCACTGAGGAGGTGCCATTCGGGCAAACACGTGAAGCACATGAGGAACGAGCCTCGCAGATGTCTGGGGGACGAGTGCTATCTGGGGAGTTGGAAGAACAGCAGGCAGGCGGGGTGGCTGGATTGGGGGGAGCAAGAAGGGCAAGAGCAGAGGTCAGAGAAGTGAGGGAGGACCAGACGGAGGGGACTTATGGGCCGGGTGAGGACTTTGCTGTTACCTGGAGTGCGGCGCAGCCCGGCAGGGCTCTGAGCCAGCCCTGACCTGACTCAGGTGTCCCCAGACTCCCTCTGGCTGCGGGTGGGGAGCAGACCGTGGCGTCAGGGACAGAGCAGGGGACCAGGAAGGAGGCTGCTGGGGTGTCCAGGCTGGAGGTGACGGAGGCCGGGCCAGGGTGGGGGCTGTGGATGTGTCTGGCAGCGGGAGAGACCCTCCCCCTGCTCCGTCTCATCTCACCCTGTACAGCCCCATGAAGTAGATTCAATTATCACCGCTTCACAGACCAGGCAGCCGAGGCTCGGCGAGGGGACGTCATTTGCTCCAGGTCACACATCAAGAAAGTTTTGGGGAGCAGAATTTGAAACCAGGGCCCTGGCTGACCCTAGCACCTGGGCTAATAAGCTGAAACTGCCTCTCCCATCCCGCAAGGGTGGGCAGGGAGGGGGCTGGAGGAAGGTTCTCCAGCATTAGGGTAGCTTAAAATACTTCCAGGGTCATGGATTGATTGATACGTCCCAGCAGGTGGGACCTCCAGAGTTTCCAGAGGTGCCCCCAAGGCTGCAGCAAGGAGGGCAGGGGGGGAGCGCTGGCGAGGGAAGGGGGATGGGGGCTGCCCCGGCACCGACTTCTCATCCTTCATTCCCCAGGACAGACGTTGCAGGAGGCCACGCCCATTTCTCCAGACCCAACGACTGAGGACATTCACATCCTGACACCAATCCCAGGTGACGCAAGAGGGACAATTCTGTTATTGCAAACAACAGCAACAAAAGTCCCGCACTTGGACCAAACACAGATAAGGGAATTTATGGATTTGTGCAACTAAAAAGTCCGGGGTTAGACCTTTAGGCATGGCTCAAACTGGTGCTCAGATGATGCTACCAGGAAGCTACCTCCTTGGCTTAGCTCTGCTTCTCTGTGTTGGCCTCATTTTCAGGCAGATTCTCCTCTCATGGGGCCAAGGGGGCCCCTAGAAGCCTGGGGCTTTCATCCTGCCTCCTAAGAATCCAAGCGAGAGATCCCCTTCCCCAGTCCAGCAAATTCCCCAGAACTGAGTGTCCTTAGCCAGGCTCAGGTCACATACCCACCTGTGAGCTGATTGCTGTGGCCACAGGCACAGAGAGCAGATTGGCCAGGCCTGGGTCGCCTGTTCGACCTCCAGCAGGGAGGTGCCAGCCTTGCTGGATAAAGTAGACCGAGAATCAGGGGAGGATGGTTCCCCAAAGGAAGTTCCAGGGGCTCTTATCAGAGCAGGCGGGTGCTGGCTTGTGGTCAGAGGTATTTGGGAGACCGAGTTAAACACGTTTCTTTAGACAAGACACCTCAGAGTCTTGAGGAAGCTAATCTGCAGCCAGCTTCCCCAGGGACCTCTAGGATGGCGTCTGTGGGAGGGGAGGTCCTGAGTCAGGGGAGGTGCTGGCAGCGCATTCGGGCAGTTAGCAAAAGGCTGGATTAATTAAGTCATTTTCATTATAACAAAATCGAGTTGCTATGGGAATCCCCCATATCTGAGTCTACCGACCGTCTCCACCTCCTTCTTCGCTCTTCTCGCCCTGACCGTCTGTGTCCGGATTCCAGATACAGGCCACCCAGAGCTCCAGCCCACCCCTCGGCCGCCAGCCTGGCCTGCTGATGGTGAGTGGGGCAAGCGGAGGGGCTGGGGGTGGGCCCTGGGCGGACGTACCTCCCCGCCTTCCGCTGACACTCTGGGTCTTTGGGTGCCTATTTCAGTCTCAAGCTTTGAGTCCCCTGGTTTACTTTGCACGGGACGGCAGCCAACTCCCTTCAATACTTAAAAAAAAAAAATGTTTGAAACTGTGAAATTAACGTGCATATAGAAAAATCCAAAACCCACAAATGTACAACTTAATGACTTTCTCTAAATTGAGCCCCTGTGTAACTACCACCCGGGTCAAAGAGTAGAACTTGGCAAACACCCCCAGAAACTCCCTGTGTGACGACTTCACTCATTTCTTCCTTTAATCTCTTTGTCTCTTTTTCCTTTTTTGAATTTTCAATACATTTTGAACTTTTTCTTGGAGCATGACATAATTCAAAAGCACTCCCCAATTTTTGCAATTGACGTTTGGCGACACATAAACACATTCTCCGTGGAAAGAATAAAAGTACCATAGGTGAAACTAAATCCCCTTGACACCCCCATCCTTCTTCCCTCCGTCTGTCTCTGGGCGGTCCCCACTGTTAGCACTGGGGTCGCTCCCTGGTGATACTGCGTCACACGGCTGTCACCTGGAGAAACGCACTGACCGTGCGGTGCATCTGTGAGCTCAGGGATGTCATGAGTGTTCTGCGACTTGCCTTGTTTGGTATTTTTCACGCAACAGTGTCATTGGCAGCTCTGCTCACAGCACTCCATAAAGACTCGTCTTGTTTTCTCTGCTGCGCAGTGTTCTGCAGGGTGGCCGTGCTGCAGTTAGGGTCACACACCTCTTGAGTACATTGACCGCCTCCAGTTTCTTCTGTCTACACACAGCGCCACAATGAGCAAAGCTGCCCCTTCCTCCTTGAGCAAACACTTAGACTAGTAGGTACTTCCTATGTGCTGGTCATGGTTCTGAATATTTCACTTGTGTTAACTCACTCAAGCCTCACACGCACCCTCTGAGGTTATGTTATCCCCGTTTTACAGATAAGGAAGCAGGCTCAGAGTAACTTGCCCGAGGTCTCACAGGAAGTCAGGGACGCAGCTGGGATTGAAGTCCAGGAATGATAGTTTCAGAGACTGTGCTTTTATCCAAAACACTACTGGGCAAAGGCTGGGCGCGGTGGCTCACGCCTGTAATCCTAGCACTCTGGGAGGCCGAGGCGGGAGGATCGCTTGAGCTCAGGAGTTCGAGACCAGCCTGAGCAAGAGTGAGACCCCATCTCTACTAAAAATAGAAAGAAAATAATTGGACAACTAAAAATATATAGAAAAAACTAGCCGGGCATGGTGGCGCATGCCTGTAGTCCCAGCTACTCGGGAGGCTGAGGCAGGAGGATCGCTTGAGCCCAGGAGTTTGAGGTTGCTGTGAGCTATGATGATGCCATTGCACTCCATCCTGGGCAGCAGAGTGAGAATCTGTCTCAAAAAACAAAAACAAAAACAAACAAACAAATCGAATAAACCAAAAACCCACCATGGGGCAAAGGACATGCACGATTAAATTTGTGTTGAAAGTCGCCCTCCCACAGGCAGTACTCGGGAGAGTCCCGCTTTCCCACCCCTGCAGTGGCACTTGGCATGCCAACGTCTTTGGGTTTTGCCAACCTGTCGGAGGGAGATCGTCCCTTGCTGTGCAATGGGTCTGCATGTCCCCAATTCAATCTTTTCTTACCCTCCCCGCCTTGCTCTTCTGGCCCGAGTAGAAACAACACAAAACCCGACTGAGACCTTGACCCAGACCCAGCAGCCGACGGGAGCGGACGGACTGCCGGCGTCGCATCCAGGGGCGCACAACAGCACCGAGGAAGGTAGCGTCTGGGACCGAGAACGGCAGCCTATAGTCTTTGTTTAACTCTCCATCTAGGTCACCGTTTCCCCACGTGTGTTTCTCCGAGCACCTGTTTGGGGAATTGTTAATACACTTTCAAAAAAATTTTTTTGGTTTGTGGTCAGAGGTATTTGGGGAACTCTGAGTTAAAGTTAACCACGTTTCTTTATGGCAGGACTTCTCAGAGTCTTGATTAAGCTAATTTGCAGCAAACGTCCCCTAAGGGGAGCAGCCAATATGCAGTGTTTCCCAAACTGTTAGACTTGGGAACCCTCTTTCGTTCGGTTCCCTTCACAGGGCTGGTGCTATAAAATGTGGCTCTGGATGTTTCCTTTGTACATGTCTTAATGATAGAGCAGGAACTCTTAAGTTGCGAGATACAGAAAATACAACTTAAGAAGATTTATTGGCTATGTAAGTTCTGTGAAGTCCAGAGGTAGCCAATTTCAGGCATGGCTGGATCAAGGAGCTCTCACTGTCATCATGACTGAATTGCTCCCCCTCTTAGCGCTGTTGTCTTCATTCTCAGCTTACTTTTCCCCTATTGGTGGCAAAGATAGTCACATGGTTCTAACTTTAGGTCACAAACCCCGTGGCCAGAGAACATCTCTTTCCCAATATCTCCAGCCCAAAGCTGGAGGCTCAGCTGGGGTCGGATGCTCATGTCCGAACAAATAGGAGCCTGGGAAATGCACTGCTCTGATTGGTCAGGCCTGAATCCTGTGCCCCACCCTGGGCCTGGAGAAGGTGGTCAGCCCTGCCTGAACCACATAGACCAAGAGTCAGGGAAGAGGTGATTTCCCTCTGGACAAGTGAGTTAATGTTACCAAATACGGGAAAGGGGGCCGAACTGATACAATGGCAACAGAGGGCCTCTGATGCTTGTGTGATGATCCCTTTTGAGGGGCAGCCCCCATTGGAAAGTATTGTATAATAGCTTAGGTCATTCCCAGGCTGAAAGGCATGCACAGTTGTGCAGGCTGGGCACTGCCCAAGAGCACCACCTCTAAGGCCATGCCATTCCGCTTGTCGATCTTTGTAATTGTATCAAGTTCCCAGTGCTGGCAATAAAGCATCTGATTCTTACAGAATCTGTTTACTAAAACGATTTTACAGCAGACAAAAATAAAGTGTCTCGAGAAAGGGAGCTTTTTTATTTCACACAAAAGTGGCCCTATGGGGCCTGGGGGATAGCAGCTGCATCTACACTTCCCAATTGATAAAGCATTTTACAATTTGCTCTGGGTCTTTGCTGACCTGGGTTACCTTATGCACTAGTCCGCATCCCTGGCTGCACGTGGCAGAAACTCTGCAGGGCCATGGGGATTGCACAGCCAAGTGGTAAAAGGCGCTACTGAGCGTCAGGATTTCCCAGAGCCTCCCTCCCTCCTGCATCTTTGCTTCTCTGGTGCTGGCGCTTCTCTTCCAGCTAGTGAGGAAATGGCCCCTGTCATCTCCCAGCTCAGAGCTTCCTGGCTTCACTTAGTGTCTTAGTCTGCTCAGGTTGCCGTAACAAAATACCACGGACCAGGTGGCTTAAACAGCAAGAATTTATTTCTCCCAGCTCTGGACACTGGAAGTTCAAGATCAAGGTGCCAACAGGGACAGTGTCTGGTGAGAGCTCTCTCCGTGGGTTGCAGGCAGCCACCCTCTCGCTATGTCCTCCCATGGCTTTTCCCCGGAGTGTGCGGATGGAGAGAGAGCTCTCTGGTCTCTTCTTCTAAGGGCACTAATCCCATCATGAGGGCCCCACCTTTACGACCTCATCTAACCCTAACTATCTGCCCCATCTGCAAATACCATCGCATTGGGGGTTAGGGCTTCAGCACATGCATTTGGTGGGTGAGGGATAAAACTCAGTGCATAGTACCCAGATTTCTCGACAATCACTACTGGAGATTTGAACGGTCCCAGGGAAAGGCTACCCTGGGGTCACGTGCTCCCCGTTGTAGCCTAGGTCACAACTGGGGAATCAGATGGACTAGGGCAGGGGGAGCAGTTCCCCCAAAGAAAGGGGGAGCTGTTCCCAGAAGAAGGGGGGAGTGCCGAGTAGACAATGAAACTGCTGACGTTTGCAGAGAGCTTATTCCATGCTGGGCACTGGGCTGAGCTTTCGTACTCCCTCATTCGATGCTCACAAACACCCTACATTGTGGGGGCTGTCATTACTCCTGTTTCACAGGGAGGAGATCCAAAGCCCAGAGAGGTTACTCAGCTTGCCTTAGGCCACACAGCCCAAAGCAACAGAATCGGAATTTGCGTCCAGACTATCTAGCTCCAGGGTGCACGGACACCACACACTGTCGCAGCTGCCCTTTGTATTTTCTGTGGTCTTGACATCTCTGTCCCTGCTGTTGATCTTGCTCATACTTTCCGTTGGGTCACGCGTTCCCCGAACATCTTGTAATCTTTGGCTGTCGGCTCATATTTAGGGGGTGATGTGTGAGAGAGGCCCAGGAAAGTCAGGGCTCATGAGGAGGCTTTCACCTGCTGGCTTCTAATGGAGGCTTCAGATGGGGCGTGGGGGTGCTTCTTAGGGCCAGAGGGGCAGGCCTTTTATTTTGGGCATTGATTTTTTTTCAAGAGAGAAACCTTCTGGTATTTTTGGTTTAGGGGCAGAGGTGATATTGAGAATGTTTTACATATCTCCAGGCTGTGTGGCTGGAAGGCCAGGTCCTGGAAGTCCCCCTGCCTGGTTACGCCAGGTGTTGCCTTTTAGTTCCTTTATCTCCTGGATTATAGGGTGGCCCAGGAGATCCTAGGAGTAAGGGGTCCCTCGGGGGTTGGGGTAGCTGTAACCAGATGGTGCAGGCTTAGTTTGGTATTTCGGTACCCACCATTACGTGTTGCCTCCAGGGGTGGAGTCGGGGGACGCCTGACCCTGCACTCTGGCTGTGTAGATGTGGTAGAGGGGTTTCTCCCAGATACGGACTTTCAGTGATGTCCCTTGTTTCTGCCCCCATCATCTTCCATCCACTCTCTCTGCCCATCCCACTGAAGGCACGACGATGCTCTCCAAGAGGACGTCCCCAGGCACAGATGTCAGGAAAGACCCCCAGACCCCCAAGCCACACGGTCAGTAACTCCCTTCCCAGACTGGAAGTGGGCTGCTTTCTATTCACTGTGTATTTCCAGCACCTGGCATACAGCCCAGCACAGAATAGTCCTGGTAAACATGTGTTGGGTGAATAAATGGGTTCAAGCCCCGCGGAGGGTGGGCACATGATAAAAGTCTGAATAGATGAATGAATGCATAAATGAATCCCGCATGCAAACCACCTCAAAACTCAATAACTTAAAAATGATAACCATTTATTTAGCTCTCAACTCTGCAATTTGGAAACATAGGCTGTGCTCAGCTGGCTGGTTCTTCTGGTTTCAGCTGGATTTACTCATGCGTCTGAGATTAGTTGGGTCAGCAGGGAGCTCTGTTTAGAGGGGCACCTGGATTATTCTTCTCATAGTCTTATCCTCGACTTCCTTCCTAGTCAACCCCCAGTGAATGAATGGAAATGATATGCCCACAGGTCATATAGAGAACTCATTTCCTGTTCATTCAACAAATATTCCCTGAGCACTTCCTGTGTGTGTCAGGTACTGTTATAGGGCCAGGAATATGGCAGTGAACAAGAAAGACAAAAATCTCTGTCCTCATGGAACTGATATTCTAGTAGGGGAAGAAAGGCAACAAATAATAATCATGATAATTGTATGTCACTGGAGTTTAACTTGCCATCAAGAAAAACAAGCAGGGTTAGAGAGTGGCTGAGGAGTACAGGTTGAGTATCCATTATTCAAAATGCTTGAGACCAGATGTGTTCCAGATTTGGGATTTTTTTGAATTTTGGAATATTTTCATTATATTCACCGGTTTAGCATTCCTAATCCAAAAATCCCAAATCCAAAATGCTCCAGTGAGCACTCCTTTTGAGTATCATATTGGTGCTCAAAAAGTTTCAGAATTTGGAACATTTTGGATTTTGGATTTTCACTTTAGGGATACTCAACCTGGATTTCATATACAGGACCAGGGAAGGCCCCACTGAGAAGGAAGTGAAGGAAGTAGCCATGTGGATGTCCAGGGAAAGGGTGTTCCAGGCAGCGGGAACAGCCAGTGCAAAGGCCCTGAGGTGAGAAGGTATCTGGCATGTTCGACAGCAGGGAGGCCAGTGGGCTGGAGTACAACGAATGAGGGGAGAGTGAAGAGATGAGGTTAGGGAGGTAATGAAAACCAGACTGTGTGTCACGGTGAGGACTTTGGCTTTTGTTCTAAGGGTACCAAGGCTGAGACCCAGGTGTTCCCTCTCCCTGACTTTGCCATTCACTTATTCGTGCCACAAACCTTTGCAGAACTCTGACTTGCTCCTTGTCTGTCCTCTCCAGGTTCAGATGAGGACAACCCCTTCTTCTATGGTAAGCTGCCCGTGGGAAGATGTGGGGAGAGGAAGGGTGAAGGCCTCTATGACTATATCCCTCCATTTTCTCTCTACAGATGAAAGCACTCTCCGGAAACGGGGGCTACTGGTGGCGGCTGTGCTGTTCATCACTGGCATTGTCATCCTCACCAGTGAGAATGGGAGTTGGGTGGGAATGGGGAGGCTTGCTCTGTGGCTGAGGGTCAGGTCCTCAAAGGCCCCTGGGCAAGGTTGTTTTAAATGAGTTATCCATTAGCTATATATCCATACAAACTGCCCCCGAATTCAATGGTTTAAAATGATTAACATGTATTTAGCTCTCAAGCATGCAGTTTGGAAATGTAGGCTGGGTTCAGCTGGGTGGCTCTTCTGGTCTCAGCTGTATTTACTCACACATCTGAGGTCAGTTGTGGGTCAGCAGAGAGCGCTGCTCTTGGTTCTCTGCCTCATGGTCTTACTAACTAGCCTGGACTTGTTCACATCATGGTGGCAGGGGTCTGAGAGAGAGAGAAAGACAGAGAGAGAGAGAGAGAGGGAAAGTGAGAGCAAAGGAGTGCAGGCTCAGAACTGGCCACTATCACCTCCGGCACATTCTGTTAGTCGAAGCAAGTCACAAGGCCAGGCTTCATCCAAGCAGTCGGGAAATAGACTTGCTCTTGATGGGAAGAGAGGCAAAGCCACATTGCAAGGGACGTGGATAGTGCTGGGGAGGGACAGAGAACTGGGAGCTCTTCTGGAAGTCAACAAACCACGCCAGGGTCACAAGTCCACTCTGACCTGGTGGGCCGAGGGCTGCACAAGGCTGGGTGGGGAGGAGGCAGATGAGCATCGATGCCTTACCTGGATGGAGCAGCCCCACCCACTCCGTGGCGCAAGAATAGGGGCCTGGAGCTGCCAGAGGAGCCACTCCTTCAAGAGCTCCGTGTTCCTGTAAAATCTTCCGGCGCATGGCTATCGGCAGCCGTGTTGGTCAGGGTCATGGCAGGTGACACGAGGGCCCAAAAAGGATTAATTAGAGACTGTTGAATAGAGAGACTTTTCCACCACACCAGGGTAACGAGATGGAGCAGCACCCAGGACTAGCCACGATGGGGAGCTGTTATCCGCTGGGCCTGGGGGGTGAGAGGAGGTCGTGGCTATGCCAGGGCCCGGTGAGAGATGGAACTGTGGCTCCAGGGAGAGGGTTCCAGCCACTGCCTCACCGTAACCCAACCAGGAGGGAGCAGGGCCGAGGGGATCAGATGCCCAAACCTCCCTCTCCTCCTGCCCTCCTGTCTCCTGCCAATGCTGAACCACAGGGCAAGGGGCCCGCGGCATGTGGGCAGTCAGGTCGGCCTCCCAGGGCCCAACACAGGGCAGGGAAGGGTGGAAAAGGGAAAACGACAAGTAGAGAAACTAAGGTTTTCAAAACGCTGTGGGTGAGATCAAACACAAGGGCCCCCAGTTTATAAGCTCTTGGGTAATCTGCATAGTTTACACCAAGTTTCACTACCTCTCGTCCCACGTCTTCACCAGGAAGATGAGCACAGCCAGGTGTGTTTTGCCTTCATGGGGCAAAACAATCAGTATCGCTCCAACTCATGGCTGCACCTTTCCTTCTCCCCCAGGCGGCAAGTGTAGGCAGTTGTCCCAGTTATGCCGGAATCACCGCAGGTGAGTCCGTCAGCAGCAGGGGCCAGCAGCACTATGGGCACCCCGAGACTGAGCCTCCCCCAGCTCACCGTCCCCAGCCGCCTCCCTGCCCTCAAAGAGCCTCAAGAACGGTCAGTATAAGAAGCCCAGCCTGAGGGGGAAGACACAGATGGATGCAGCCGGAGCTGGGGCTGATGGCCGGAGTCCCCTACCGTCCCCATCCTGCCGCCCAGGAAGGCTGGCGGGCTCCCTGGTCACTGCCCCTCCACTCTGCTCAGACAAAAATAAAGCACAGCGGCCCTCACCCTGTGGTCTCTGATCATTCCTCACAGGGGAGTGGAAGAAAGGCAGGTCCTGGCCTCGGTGCCCCCACCCCCAGGAGTGCAGCAAGGAGTCACAGACCCAAAGCTGAGGCAGAGAACAAAGGGAAGGAAGCCTGGGGCCAGGCTGGTGGCCAGGGAGAGAGTCAGGGCTGGGTCGTGCCCGCAGGCAGTTTGAGCCCCGGGCCTGGTCCCCGAGGGGAGCGTGGTATCCAACGGCAGCTCCGCCCCAGCATAGGCAGGGTTCAGGCAAACACGGGTGGAGGTCCCGGCCCACGTGGTCCCCTCTCCTTCAAACTGTAGGTCTTTCCCGCACTGGGAGGGGCCCCTCACACGAGTGTGGACACCCCAGCCTGCACATCCAAGCCTCATCTGCACCCCCAATATGCAAATGGCCACCTCTGGGCCATCTCTCTGCTTAGAGATAGATGTGTCCATTAAGAAGGCCACATGGGCCCTGGCGTGGGCTCAGAGAAATCTGAGTGAGGAATTGTGGGGTGCAAGGAGGCTCCAGTGGGCACTTCCGGAAGGCTCTGGACCCCACGGCCCATGGGGAGGGAGCTCAGCCAGGCGAGGCTGGAGCGGCCCCTCCCCCGTGCAAGGCTTGGGCCAGGGCTGTGCCCAGGCGCAAGGATGGTGCCAAAGTAGAGACGAGGTCCCTGTCACAGGGGGTTGCATAACAACGTTTCACAAACTTCAGGTCCCGGCCCATTCGTGGGTTACAAAATCAGTTTAGTGGGCCATGAGCAGCATTAAAAAAATGAAAGAAGAAGTCGTAAAATAAAAAAGAAAATATCAGCACATCACAAATAATAAATGCAAGATTTTATATATATAATATGTACACTGTTATATACATAGATGTTACTGTATACATGTTGGGAGACTAAAAATATTTCTTTATTGGCACCCACGACCTACTAATCAGGACAGATGTCTAACTGATAAGGAAGGTGTGTCATATTAATATATATGTATATATTCGTATACCTAAGGGAGTACATGTATTAAATTGAATCATTTGAAAATGTTACCGTTCAAATATTTCTGACATACAAAAATAGCAATTTCATATGGCTCAACCTAATGATATACACAGTAATGATATAAAATGCACGTCATCCTGTGGGTCGCTTTTTAAGAACATTGGGAAGCATTGGGGATCGGGGCGTGGGTGGCAGGAGGGAAGAAACTTTGCTTTTTAGAACAGGAAATGCTGGCAGCCACATCTGTCCCCTGCCTTGGTGGCCACATCGGTATCTGGAAGATGTTGTCAGGACAGCGTTTCCCAGACTTCAGCCGTCACATACCCAATTCGCAATGGCTGACGCATTTTCACCCCTACCCCCAAACTATTATTATTCACTGCTTTAAAAGAACAATTCCCTTTTTCACTTAAATGAATGGATTTTACAAGGCGTGCTCATATATGGATGATCAGTAGTGCTTGATTGAAAAGAAACGAAGAAGTTCTATTGCATTTCAGCTGGACGCGGAGTTGCTGTCCAAGGGTCAGAGTGTGCTCTGTCGGAGGAACGCCACTGAGTGCCAGGGTTGGGATGTCACCCTCCTGCCCAAAGAGACTGCAATGTACAGGGCTGTGGCCATGACCCTACCGCCCAAAGACGGTTCCGGAGACCCAAGACCACTCTCACTTCTGACACCACCTGCAGGTTCAAGGACCCCCAAGACCACCCGCAGGTTTGACAATCGGCTGGAAGGACTCACAGAACTCACTGCACGCGGACGGACTCACAGTGACGGTTTATTAAAGTGAAAGGAAACATTAAAATCATCCAAGGAAACACACGTGGGGAAGAGGCCAGGAGCGTTCTAGGCGCAAAGGTCCGAGTCGTCCTCTCCCAGGGGAGTCGCGGACGGTGCTGGCTTCTCCTGGCAATGATGTGTGACAACCCACATGGAGCATTGGTAACCAGGGGAGCTCGCTCCAGCCTTGGGGTCCAGAATTTCGACAACGCGCAGTCACGCCGCGCAGCTGACCCCAGTCTCCAGCGCCTCCAGAGGTGGAGCCGACGCTGTGTGGCCCACGGCCCCCACCGCAAATCACAAGGTTAGGAACAATCTGGTGTGGGCCAAGGCCACCGTGCAAACAAAGACACTCTTATCACGCGGAACATTCCAAGGGCCTGGAGATTACCTTCCAACAGCCAAGGGCAGAAGCCAGACCTTTCTTTGCACAAAGTTAATTCTTTACTACACAGAGACTTTCTCCCTCATATCATTTAACGGATTGAGAAATAGTCAAAGGGGACTTGCTTTCCGGTGATGCGATTCAATGCGATTTAATATTGCTCGAGGCCGACAAGCAGCTCGCGCGCTGCCACGCCAGCCTTGCAGAACGCCCGGCGGCCTCCGTGGGCAGAGCAAGGCGGCGCTCACTCGCGGGGCGTGGCGGGGCGTTTTCGCCTGGTGTGCTTCCACCTTCCTGGGGGTAGTGCCATGTCCCCAGATGCCCCCTGAGACGGGGCTTGGGATGTGGATCCAGCTGTGCCAGTCAGAGGCCCTCACGCGAGATCCGGAAGACCAAAAACGACCATCTTCCTGCATCACTGGCTGTTTTCTGCGGGCTACGGTTGTGAAAGGGTCAGGTTTTCTGGCCATCCCATTCCTGCGTCCGTCACTAGCCTGACGGGCACTAAAAGACAGTTACGCTCATAAAAGAATATCTAGGTGGCCAAAAAGCACACGAAAAGGTGCCCAGTGTCATTGTCTGCAGGAGACTCAACTGCCACATCACATTCCAGCAGAAAAGTCAAAAGGGAAAAACACGTGTGGGGAGGAAAGCCACCACTAGGGGATTCCACTCCTTTTGAAGAGAATTCCCAAAATCCCTTCCCAAATACTGCTACTTACTTCTGATTGGCCACCTCTATCTGCAAAGGAAACTGAGAAATGCGGTCTTTTAGCTGAGACCATGACACCCTGAACACCACCAGGGAAAACAGCAGCCTCCGGGGATGTGCCGACGTGGCGAGAAGGATGCTGAGCTTCCGCCAAGCCAGGACGCGGCGGCTTCAGCCATTTTTGTTCCTCCTGAAAGGAAAATATAACTCTTCTTAAGACGGGGGGCTGTTGAGACTTCCAGGGGACAGCAGCACTGAATCTTGGACGTGGAAAAGACTTCCAGAAATCTCCCCAGCAGCGCCCATAATGCTCCTAACAGGCTGTTCGTCTGCCGCCCAAACCTTTCTGGCATGAGACACCTTTTTCTGTTGTGTCATTGTCTGAACCGAAGCCCCCTCCTCCTCCACTCTTACAGCAGGGGAGGTTTCTTGCCAAGAGCTAATGGAGTGGATCTTGTAATTCAGCCAGCCTCTGAGGACAATTCTGTCAAGGCTCTTGTTTTGGAAGAATTGAGGCCAAATCCCATTAACTGAAAGGAATCTGCTTTTTCTCATCTGACACTAGATTGTGCTCTTCTCAGGGTGCTGGGAAGGACCCGCACTGCTTGCTTCCAAGGAGGGTGTTGGGTCAATGAATCCAGCTCCTCAGGGTGGGAGATTAAACAGAACTTGAAACACGGACCAAGGCAGCTTTGTAATGTGGCAACTTGGCTAGGCGAAACTACATTTCCCAGAATTCCTTTCCCTGGATGCCTGTACGTTTCTGTTAGGGTGCCTCACAAGAGGCATTCTTGTGGGAGATTTGCTGGGTAGAGGTGGAGCAGCAGTCATTTTGTGGCTTATACTGGTTGTCGCTCATCTGCCCACTCATGTCGTGGGCATATGGCAGGACTGCAACTCTCTCACCTTCCCTGGGTCCTCCTTCCGGTTCTTCAACACCTGGGCCAGGTGTGTGCTTAGCCCCATGATGAAAGGCCCTGGAGCCAGCAGGGCACCCACACCGACAAGCTCAGAGGCAACAAGAACTGACATGGGGTTCAGTCCACCCTTGTGGACTCCAGGTTGTGCTTGTAGGTTCCAGCTTGTTCCTGTTGTCCCCGACCTTACGCGTTATCTGCCCTTCCTGACTTTCTGGACCTGTGGGCTTCAAGTTCCAGCGTCAAGCACAGCCTTACAGGAGAGCTTCATTAGCTCCCACAGTTGTTAAGGGTCAAATTTGTGTAGCAAATGGTGTGTGTGTGTGTGTGTGTGTGTGTGTGTGTGTGTGTGTGTGTGTGTGTGTATTAGAGGTTCGCCTTCGCTGATAAAGAGTTTAGTACTAAGAGTGGTCCCAGAAGAACAGAATCTTGAGTTTTCTGGAATTGGTTCTCTAATCTAATTAAATTTAGTCATTAATGACCCTATTTCCAGTGACAAAGGAGACACTGGTAGTCCATGGCATGGAGTGGCAAAGCAGTTACTCAGATCACCACCAGTCGCTTCCTGTATTAAGTCCCTATGGAAGGCAAGCCTCTGGGTGACCGAGTGTTTGCTTCCATAGAACATCTTAGTGAAAATAAGGAGCGTAATGGGGTTGGTTCATTGCTTCTAACTGTGCTGCAAAACTTGAGGAAAGAAGATGATGCGCTCAGAGCTTCAAATTCCCAGCTCAAGTTCTGTATAAGGGACTTGGAAACTTCTGTGACTGCCCTGAAAGAAACTCTTATTTTCCATAGCTGCAGGGCTGAGATTTCTGAAAATCAAACCCGAAGTCTAATCCTGTGGGTGGCTGAACTACAACAAACATTGAACTTCCAACCTCACAGGGTCTCTTTTGTTACAGTTAGGGGCTGGATTGGGAAGGAGTGGGATCCTGAAAATTGGGATGGGGACATATGAGCAGATTCCAGTAAAGCTGGGGACATTAAACCCCTAAATTCTGCCAGGTCTCTTTGCCTACAGAAGCAGCCCTTTTCCCCTTGCCTGCAGAAGCGAGTCTCTTCCTGCCTGAAGAAGCTGTAACGGCCTCCTGCAAGGTAGCTGCCTTGCAAGGCACTGTTGATGCCCCAACTCCTACCGCTTCTTCTTGCTTCTAAGACCTGTGACTAGACTCAAGGCTCAGGGCAACG